CGCCTCTACTTGATCGACCTCCAACCAGAGCGCTCTTCTTACGCACAAACGGTACAACAAAAAAGAGAACTAAACAGTTTTTTGTCTTCCTGGCAAATGCGGGCTTTGGCACTGGAATGCTCGCAATGCTACGCAGTACTTGCGCAAGAGACGGGCACCTGTGGATTGCTTCTTGTGGTCCCGTTCTTCCAGCCCGCGGTCGGCACCCTGCGAGCATAGGGCGGTCGATTGTGACTTCCACTCTTTTTGTTCGCCTGTTTGGGTCAGCATCGCGTCAATCGATCTTACCGGAGATGGGTACCTGCAGCCCCTGCCTTTATATTTTCTCTCCTCTCATAAAAACCCCTTCCCCAGAGGCCCTGTCTCGACGTAGAAAGCGCAGCAGAGAAGCAGCCACAGAGGTAGGATCAAAGCTTTGTTATTTGGTCCGTCTTTATTATTTATTTATTGCTTTTTGACAATAAGTGATAAATATTAAATTTGGATTGGATCTTGACCCAGCAGCGCAGCGTGGATATAAAAGAAGAAGTGAAGGAGGGCAATGCCGAGGACACTGCCAAAGAAGAGCGAGAGGCCACCGGGAAGCGCAACAAGGAACCAAAGAAGAGGAGCAGGACGGAGAACGAGAGCGCAGAGGCTCAGGAAGTACCTGATTGGGTCAAGGTAGGGCCTTCTTGTTCCCATGTGGACTGTAGGATTGCCTCACATGGCCATTGCTCCTTGCATACAAGGTGTGGGATGGCATTACGGAGATGCGCAAGAATAGAGACGCGCCTGTAGATACGATGGGATGCGAAGTGTTGGCCGAGGACGCCGAACCTAAGGTAGAGATCGCTCCCCAATGAGGCTCATTGCGGTCCAATATTTCTTTCCTCATTGTTGCTTCTTCCAAGGTGCAACGCTATCAAACCCTCGTGGCGCTCATGCTCTCGAGTCAAACAAAGGATCAGCAGACAGCGGCAGCCATTCGGCGTCTGCAGGTACAATAACCCAAACGCTTCACTCCTTCAAAAGGCCTGGCCCTGACTAGTTGCGTCGCAGAAACATGGGCTTACGGTCGGAAACATATTGGATACGCCTGAGAACGAGCTGGATGAGCTCATTTCAAACGTAGGCTTTCACAGGAACAAGGCCAAGTACGTACGCCCAATGCTCGCTAAGTGGTGCTTACTCACCGCAACCTCACCTCAATGTTCACTTGCGCTGTATCTCACATCTGGCAGATTCATCAAGCGCACGTCAGAAATCCTTCGCGAGGAGTATGATGATGACATTCCGCCCGACTACGAGGGCCTTCTCAAGCTTCCTGGAGTGGGTCCAAAAATGGCGCACTTGACTATGCAGTGTGCCTGGCACAAGTACGTCCCTCTTATCCAGTTTTTGCAGGGAAGATTGTCACTTGTCTTTTTGCCGTGACCTTCACTACAACTGCTAACGTCTCGGTGTGGCAC